ACGGCGTTGATGCAGTGGATACCAGCTTGTCGGACCACCCTGGATCCCACTATCCTCGGGTCCAGGCCCGTGGTCCCCGCATGATGCTGTGAAACTGTCCCAAGCTGGCGGATCAGCGCCCTCCAGAGTGTAGCTACTGGGGCCGGCCGGGCGTCCGTTGTCCATCAGCTGGAACGAACGTTCCTGTAGCCCATCGCGGCTTTTACCCCGCCCAGCTTTGGATTGCTCCTCGCTCTCTCCAACATTGGCCGACACTGGGAACACCACGACCAGAGACAGACAGATAAGACAGATAGACAGAACGTCTAATGTTACATCCACGCGATTCCTTTCAGGAAATCACTGATCACTGGCATACTGAGTGTGCGAATCCACATTTCGATTCTATGGAGGCGTGTAGTTGACAGCTTGACTGGCAGTTGCCGTGGCTAACTGTTGGTGGAAGTGGAAATGATCACTGGACTGTTGAAATGAGTCAGAAGAGCAGCAAGTTGAACGTTGGTTTCAGGGTAGACAACGGTCTGAAAAAAAAGTCCCAACTAATTTCAACCCGACAAGGAACTCTGGGTTCAGTACGGAAAGTCGCTCCTGCTCTAACACGTCAGCTTTGCACACTGCTCTTCGGTGGCAGTTAATTACTACTGTACCACCAATCCCTCCACAAATTACTGAATCAGCACACAGACTTTATGAAGCATTTCAATAATAACCTAAAAAATTGTTTGTAAAGGTCCGCCTGTTTCAATGGCATTTTATAATCTGTTAATATAGGTGTATATATTAATGTTCTATCATCATATTATGAATATGTGTAATGTTGTGTAATTCACTGTGTTCCAAATTAATGTTATTATACTGCTTTTTCTCTTCTTTTTCTTACTAAATAAGCCGATATAACAAATTATACCGTAATCTGGATTTTTATTTAAAACACAATTGCCAACGATTGACAAAATAACAGCAGTCAGTTGTTCCAAATTTATTATGCAAAACAGGAGTTTCAAAACACTTCCAATAGGTTTACTAGGAATGGATTGAAAACAGAAATTCTGTTGTATTTTTTGCAAAAAACAAACAAACAATCTTTTCAGATCGGAGTTACATATTAACCATAGAAGCCCTCTTTCTACATTAATTAACATTCACAACTCTCCTCATCCATTGAACTTGGTAAGATCCATGTACAGTTTCTGCCTGTAATTTCCTTTGAAGATTGCCAGAAAACGCCTCCCAAGAAGCTGGCTCTGTTTGAGGTAAAAACTGCCAAACCCGCCCTTCATAGAGCTTCCTTTTTAAGGAATGCTTCCCAATAGGATTTGAGTCAAGGTTTGATGATGGTGGCCACACTGTGGAAGGTTTAGGGTTTAGGGGGTTAATAGGGATAGACGGTTGCAAGCCTTTGTTGGGAACACATTGGTGGGCCATCACAGAAACTCACATCCATCCTGGAACCCCATCCAGTGTTAGCACGGCATACATCAGTGAATAATATATTAATATAAAATAATTTCTCCCTGGGATTATATAAAGTATTTTCTGATTAGGCCTGTCAATGATAAACAAATTTTTGCTGGGACGGATAGAATTGTCCCAGAAAATTATTGCGATATAAACGATTAATATTGTCGTTCCGAGACCATTTTCATCTAATATAATGAATAATGGCATTAATAATGCAGGTAACAGCTTTTTTCAAAAGATCAATTAAGCATTTAATTTCTTAAACAATATTAATACTGTAACTGGAAGACATTTTAAAAAATATCCACAAAAATGAAACAAAACAACCAAAAACAATAAATAAAATTGGACTCCTCAGTTCTCTGTTAACAAAAAATGCCACTGGGAATAAAAACCACACACAACCAAAACAATGAATTTAAAATGGATGTAGACAAAATTGTACTTTTCAAAAATATTAAACAATTAGGCTCAGACATTAAAGAGGTTATACAATTTCCTTAAAACAGGCAAAACCTGCCAGTTTAGGACCTTTTGTAAACATCAAAGTTGCAAAAGAGATGAAGCAGATGCCTATTATTCAATATTGACAACTTCGGCTTTCCATATGAAACTATGAACCTAGCTTAGTTCCTTGCTTCCTACAGCACGAGCTTGAAACGATTAAATCTAACACACAAGGGAGAGCGACTTTAAGGCATAACAGCCAATCAATCAACCGGTCACCACTCAAAAGCCGGTTTGTCCATGTTTGAGGCAACACCACATTGAGAGGAGGGAGAGGAGCAGCCGCACCGAGCGGCAGACACAGAGCGGCCAGAGAACAGGAGCTTGACTGTAGTAAGGCGTTTGTGCAAAACTGCGCGAAAAACTGCAGAAAAAGTGTGGGGTGTTGAACCCTGTCACCGGGAAAAAGTGTTGGGTTGTCCAAAACACACCCACATCCCCCCATGGGTGCGATGCACCTGGGGTTACCGATGCACCGCGGAGCTGGTCACTCAGTCTCTTTTGGTAGGAGAGAAGAGAAACGAAGGAAACAACAACAAGCATGTAAATGGGAATTATTCACGGGCCGAAAATACATGATCGAGCTCATTTTTAATTTATCGTGCGATTAATTGATTTATCGCAATATCGCGAACAGGCCTATTTTCCTGATTCTGATTCTGATTCTGAAAATAGGACAATTAGTTCTTCATGTATTTCTGAGCACCACCTGCAAATCATGGTCTTTCCTTGTGGGAAGCATTGTTTAAGGGT